ATTCTTAATAGCAAATGGCACAGATTACATAATATGAACAAATATACTCATATTTGCGCCACTTACTACCTCTGATGCACCCCCTTAGATGAGAGACAGCAAAGTAGCATCTCAAACGAGGACTTTGCCCCTCTCCCATAGGATCAAGACCAAAGTCAAGTCATCGGGTCTGTCATCGTCGCGGAAAATGCCACAGAGCTCAAACGACATCATTCAGCCAACCGCCGCGACCAAAAGAGACCATATTTATCTACATTGATACCATAAGGGAATTGGTGTGGTTGACAAATCTGAGCCCTCACAAGGATTCATGCAGCAATGCGTAAGCTTTCATCGTCATGTAATGTGCCCAAGTACTACAGTTTTACTTGACGATAGATCATGAAGCCAATAACTCTTCTTTTTAGAAGAGACGCCTAGAAAACGGTCTAAATCTTTATCTAAAAATTAAAACTTTGCTTTCTATACTCTCTGCACTGAAGGAATATCCCACTGTTTTTGTTGGTTTACTTCTGGTGGAAGATTTTCATTGGAGCAGATAGACAGCCAGGAGATCTCTGCAATAAATTATAACGTGGCAATTGTATCGTCCTAATTTCAATGAAGGAAATTCAGGAGCTTGCAGCAAATTAACACTAATACTGTCCTCAAGGCCTGTAAATACGGAACAAAAAGAAAAGATCCAAAAGTAGGCAGCTTGCATTATCTGCTCTTTAATAACTTATGGACCTAAAAATATAGGAAGTTAATTTAAAACAAAAATAAATAATAATAATATAACAATCCCTAAATTAATTACCATTTACTTTTAAAAGTCCATCTATAAACGTTGTTAAATTTAGTTTTAATACTTTTAAGTAATTTTTATATATCAATCGTTCATAACCTAGGACTTGTTCATAAAGACAAGACACTGCTTTAAAGCAGAAACAAGTGATGGAAAAATAATCACGACATTCAACTTATATATTATATATAAACGTTGCGGTGTTTAAAAGCTCCGTCTAAAATATAATATTAAAATCAAACGAAGAAAGTAAACAAAAGAAAGTAGTTAAAGTAGTTCTGTATAGGTATTTTCCCTTCATACATTCAATAAAGTACATGTTACAATAGAAAATTAATATCGTGCCAGTCAGACAAGATGAAAGTAGGCAATGTCCGCCGAGGGCCTGACAACCTTATGAAACCAAATCTATTTTCTGTGAGTGGGTACTTGTTACAGGGTGGATATTAATACAGCCAGCAGATAAGCAAATGATGTGCTTTACGATGCCACCTGGCCATACACTTTTATGGTACACTAGAAATTGTTTATGCTGCCGCAATAACAACTTGACCTCGTTTTATTGCATAATTTAAATTGGACCCGAAAGCTTAATAAAAATAAACTTGAGGGGTCCGCTCACGAGATAATGTTTATTGTTTATGTTTTCAAAGGTTCATTTGATTTTTCCTCGTCGTGGTCTTATTTTTTTTACGACAGTCTATTATTACTGCCGGCACCGGAAATTAAACTCAGATTGTTTGAGAATATTGAATGGAAATTGAGCGCGTAATACTGCCCCTGCCAACTATTGGTGTCAGTGCCAAGATTAATATGTCTCATGCTACCTGTGCAGATCTTGAAGGTGAATATCATAACATTGATTTCAAACACATGGTAAATAATACGAATTACACTATATATTTAAAAAAAGTCGTATTCAAACATTCGATTTTTGCTTGCTTTTGTTTATTATTTCGGGAATTGAGTGCGATTAAATCCATTATTAGTCTTGGATACACTGCGTTACAATCGAATCAACTCCATCCTCAGCCCGTTCTCCACTGATAAAATATAACCTTCCCCTACTAGTCAGTAGGGGAAGGTCTGCAAGAATCACTATCTCTGACCACCTGCATTCCGACTTCCCGCACATTTGCACAGGTCGTCACTCCACCTTTAGGGCGGTCGTCCGACACTGTGTTACCCTATACTGGCTGCCACAGGTTGTCTTACCGATCGGTTATCGGTTCTACGAGCGATATCACTACCTCATTGCCGCTTGAGCTTATCAATGTCATGTTATTTATTGGTTTTCGGTTACTTTGTTTTTATGTATAAAAAATTGTCAAAGTCTAACTCTGATGTTAAATACCGTCATATCATTAATTTTCATTGAAGTAATACATAATGTAAAATTTGTGTTTGCATCATAGTATTTTGTGATTGTAATTTAGCGATTAATGTTGTTCATGCTGATACGATTCACTATAGCTTAATTGATGTAAAAGTAACTATTTGTCATCATAGCTAAGTTATTCACAATGCATATAAAAGTAATAAAAGGAAAATAGTGAATTAAATAAATAGTGTACCTGTTTATTTAATTCACTATTTTCCTTTATAATATTGTGATCATGATTAATGGCAATTGCCTTGACAATAAATATTCCACGTCGCGATGAAAAAAACCTTGGACATTCCCAAAATGTTTGTCACTTGCGGGACGATAATTTTATTTGTTCGGAGCGTAACATGCAAATACACTTTAGACCCTTCATAATATACGAGATATCACTGATTTAAGAGCCACTTTCATTGTGTTATAAGACGGTATTTACATCTATTCAGAGAACGGAGTATATATGGGTAAATTTATTTTGTAATTCGGTATACTCGATTAACCTGGACTAAAATCCTGGTAGCAATGAACTTGTTAATTGTAATTTTATGAAAAACTTCTCGAGAAAACCAGTGAATCTTTGAAACAAAAAATAAACATATCGAAATATTGTGAAGTATGCCAATTAGCCTTCTACCTAGTTGAGGAAACCTTTGCAAAATAGTAAGACATAAATTGGTTTGGGTTGATGTCGAGTTCGAGACTTATTAATAATAGGAAACAAAAATAAACACAGGAAAGGGTGCAAAAAACATGATGGAGTATCAGGTTACCGATGTTTATGCATTGTTGATTTATTTCGTTAAATATTGGGAATAAAGATCCCATTGTATGATAGATTTGTCGTTAGAAGGAAAAACATAATTGAATTTATAAATGTTGATCGTAATGACACCAAAAGAAGTAATTTGAAAGAGAATTTTACACTTTTATATTTTGAACATATCTTGAATGTTTGTGGATATTCTGTAATGCTGTAGAATGCACTCGAATAGTGTATAACACACTCGCATGTTCAGGATTGTTTTAAAAATTGTCTTATAGTCGAAACTTTCAGCTTTTAGATCTTCAAAAAGCAAACGAAAACGAAAACTATTTTCATGGATAGAGGGGTACATACTCGTACCATATAACTCCCTTGATCGTACTGGGACTCAACGGACAGCTTGACGCAAATTGTACCCATAATATATTGTCACATATTAATATTTTATGTTAATTGGATTAAGAATTTTCTGTCATCAACATAGATAAAATAAAATAAAGCAATGAATAATTTACTATCCACACAAAATTTTCCTGTATATCACTAAGCCGAAACACAGGTCGAAAGTTAATATAATCAAGCCATAAGTCACGCGTGTATATGAAGGTCCTAAAAATAATTACGGCTGATTTATACGTTCCGAACACTACCTATCACGTAATGAAATTCTAATCAAGATACCGAACATCGCTATGGTTCTGTTTTGTGGAAATTACAATGTTTAATATAAATTTGAAGAATTAAATTCAGTGTTAAATCTGTACAATTCAATTCGTTCTAATATTTTATACGGGTGTAACACTTTGCAATTGTGATATGTATAGACTTGGAAAGAAACAACCGTTGCGTAAGAGCACTCGTTTATTACTGCCCACAGTGGGTGCGTACACATCACTCCTCCACAATTAATCTTTGAAATCTGGTAAAAAAAAAACATGACATTTTACTTACAATTGACAATAATTTAAACAATAATTATCTTAAAACTAATACATATATACATCATATTGATCTTAAAAATACTTCTTATAATCTACTTTTTTCCTTGGCCGCAACTGACGTGTACTAGCAAGTGACGATGCCCTAGTAGGTAATTCGCTACTCCCCGTGTCGTCACCGACTGTTAGCGGCGCGGACATTACGCCCGTGTTATTGCGACTACACTCTGCGCCCTCGCTATGACCTAGTTCATCCCCAATGGCAATATACCCTATTTTCAACATTTGGGCAAAGTGTAGGCTGCAGGTCTATTGATGGTTCGATATTTTGTTGAGTGTTGGTTGTAACAACATTGGTTTCGGTATTTTGTGGTGGAGAAACTTGTGTGGTGTTGGGATGAGCACAATATGCACTTGTGTGTGTTCTGTGAGCTACGTCATTACAGCTGACATCTTGGCCTGTATATTTTAGAATTTGATCAACATGCCTTATGCAAGAAACACCTAAGCTATGGATTAAAATTTGGTACATTTTGTTCCCTATTTTATTACTTATACTACCCAATTGCCAAGATTCCTTGCGTGCAGTGTACCATCGGGTCCAAACAGTATCACCAATGTTAAAATGTCTTTTCGCGGGTGTCGACAAATAACTGCGATTCGCTGATGTAGGCAAAACTAAGTCAAGACGACATCGTAAATTTCTGCCGAACATTAATTTAGCCGGCGTTTCGCCAGTGGTACAATGCACAGTATTCCTATAATTAAACAGATAACCTAATAATATTTCATGCATTTGTTGGTGCGGTAAATTATCTTTAATTATACATTTTAACATTTTTTTACAAGTTCTTACAGAGTTCTCAGCTTGACCGTTACTGGGTGGATGATATATGGGTGACGTTATAAATTTAATTCCATTAGAAGAACAGAATGTCTTAAATTCTAAAGAGTTAATTTTTACATCATTGTCTGACACTAACGTATTCGGTATTCCAAAATTAGAAAAAAATAATTTTAATTTACCGATTAAGGCTTGTGTCGAAGTTCCGCTTTGCATGTACAGACAATCTAACCATTTGCTAAAAGAATCTACAATAACTAGGTACACCTTTTGCCCTACAGTCATATGTACGCGCTGCCACGGGCCAGCGGCGGCGGGCCAGGGTGCGGGGGGGTCCCGTGGCGGCGCCGTACGCACGTTTGCGCACGTCGTACACGAGCCGATCCACCGTTCGATGTCACGGTCGATATTAGGCCACCACATTCTACTTCTAGCATTAAGGCCCATTTACACGATGCCATTTTCTTGAACATACAAGAGCAATAATTGAATGCAATAAATTGCGCGCAATAATTGTTTAGACCATTTGTTGTTTAGACCATGCAACTCATTTATTGCTTCAATTTAATTGTATACAACAGGCAAGAAACTGGCACCGTGTAAATGGGCCTTAACTTTTTGTTTTTATAATGCCTAAATGTGAATCATGCAGTTCACGTAACATTTTCTCTTTCAAAGCCAATGGTATAACTATTCTGTGCCCCCTAAATAGGTAACCATTTTCTAATTGTAAATCGGTTTTACAATAGAAATATGGTAAAATTGATTTGCAATTTAATTTACGCGGCCAACCATATTTCATATACTTAATGACGGTGTTAAGTGTTTTGTCTCGTTCAGTCACCTGTACAATGTCGCTTACAGAGATCGCCGGCGATGACTCATCGAGAAACTTAACCGCATAATAACTATCAATAGTATCGTTGTTTACATCGTCCGACGACTCCGTATTGATGTTACTACATTCTAACGGCGCGCGTGAAAAATAATCGGCGACTACGTTGTTTTCGCTGGACGTGTACTGCACTACATAGTTATAAGCGGATAATATAATAGCATATCTCTGTAGTCTTAATGCTGTCGTTACCGGAATACCTACTTTATTGTTAAAAATAGACACTAGGGGTCTATGATCGGTTTTTAAAATAAATGGATTTTCACACCCGTATAAATACTGATGGAAATGTTTCACTCCAAAGATAATAGCCGTCGCTTCTTTTTGTATTTGGCTATAATTTCGTTCGCTAACCATTAGTGAACGAGATGCATATGCCAGAGGACGTTCGGAGCCGTCGTGCGCTCGCTGCGAGAGCACGGCTCCCAGGCCAGTTGGCCCAGCGTCCACGGCCAGTACTAGCTGCGCCCCAGGTTCGAAATGAGCTAGTACACGTTCTGACGCCAATTCGCGTCGCACCGTAGCAATACTGCGCCGCTGTCGCTCGCCCCATTCCCATGTTGCATTTTTACGTAGTAATTCGTGTAAGGGACTTAATAACGACGACGCGTTTGGAATAAAATTTCTGTAATAATTAACTACTCCTAAGAATCTTTTAACTTCAGTTATGTTAGTGGGTTCCGGCGCTCTAATAATCGCTTTTACTTTATCAAGGCACGTTCTTAGGCGCCCGACTTACTAATAACATAACCTAAATATTTTACGCTTTCTTTAAAAAACTCACACTTGTCCCTTTGTAGGCGCAACCCCGCCTCATCCAGCCTACCTAAAACTTCACTTAATCTTTTGAAATGCGAATTATTGTCGAGGCTTGTAATACAGATATCATCGAGCCATATGCTTACTCCGTCTATCCCTGAAAGAAGGGTTTCCATGCTCTTTTGGAATATAGCTGGCGCGTTAGCTAAACCGTAAACTAACCTAGTATATTTAAAAAGGCCTTTATGTGTGTTAATTGTTGTAAGCTCTTGTGATTGTTCATCTAAAAGAAATTGATTATATGCGTTTTTCAAGTCAATTTTGCTATATCGCTCGCCCCCTCCAATTTTAGCAAACACCTCTTTGATTCGCGGCAGTGGTTATTTTTCAATTGTGAGGTCCCTATTTAATGTGACAGAAAAAGCACCAGCAATTTTAACTTGGCCGTTCTCTTTTAATACGGGCACTATAGGGGTGGCATATTTAGAATAATTGACAGGTACACGGATCCCTAATCTAACTAAACGGTTTATTTCTTGTTCGACTTTATCTCTGAGAGCAAAAGGTACTATACGTGGCTTAAAAAATTTTGGAACGGAGTTATCTTTTAATTACAAGCTGACTTTAAATTTATTAAACGTCCCCAATTCATCTCGCCATAAATTTGAATATTTATTTAACAATTCCTGTAATTCTGAACTATCACTACTTATAAGATTATTTTTAGTCGTAATGATTAAGTTGAATGCACACATAAAATCCCTACCCAATATTGGTAGGCCTCCATTTTTAACAACAAAAATTTTAATTAGCTTTTTAATATTATTATAGCTAGCTTCCACCGTAAAGTATCCCATATCCGTTATTTTATGCCCATCGTATAAACACATTTTTATACAACTGCGTTGAAGCGGATACTCAGAGAAGAAGTCTTTATACATTTCATCTGATATGACACATTTACTAGAACCTGAATCAAGCACCATTGACATACTTTTGCAGCCTAATTTTAAATTAATTTGAATTGGTCTGTCAGTCACATACCTTAAATTAACATTTTGGCATTCCCCACAATTTGATTCCTCATTTTGTTCAGATTCGGTGTGCGAATTGACAAGATATACACATTGGTTCTTAGGTTTGTTGCACACTTTTTTTAGATGACCCTTCTTCCCATACTTTTGATATTTGTAGTTTTTGTAACGACACTTCTCACTTTGGTGATTTTCCATCCCACAAACAGCGCAGCGCGATGAGGCAGCATACCCGCCGTTTGCCCGCCGAGCACCACTGACCCGACCGGGTTGACCTTGATTTCGCACTCGGTATACCGGCTCCTCCTTAACAGGGATAGCTTCACTGTTGCACATCACCATCGCCTGTTTGGCGCAAGCTGCCTGCTCAGCCAGCTCGATAGCACGTGTCAGCGTAAGTTTGACGGGTTCTGCTCGAACAACTTGTCGCGTTCTGGACCTGGGCCCAGGCCGAGAACGAAACGATCCCTTAAGGTCGTTTCCAGAATTCCGGTGCCGAAATCGCAATAGCTTGCGAGACCTCTTAGTCGCGCCGCCCATTCTCCCAATGATTCGCCTGACCCTCTGTTCGCTCCATAAAAATTCGCCTTGTCCACAAACGAGCATTGCTTCGGCTTGAAATGGCTGTCGAGTACGAGGCTCGCAAAACTCAACAACTCCAGCTCCTGCGGGTACGCTAAGTTTCGTATTAAACGAAACGACTCCTCGCTAAGTTGTGTAAGCAGTATTCCACTCTTGTCTCCTTCTTCTATTTTGTTTATTTTTAAAAATTGTGACAATCTGGCTTTAAATATTGACCACTCACAGGACTTATGGTCAAAAACAGGCAAATTTCCTAAGTACGCCATTTTTTTTTTACTTGCGGGTAATCCGACCTCGTCGCCAATGATATGTATAGACTTGGAAAGAAGCAACCGTTGCGTAAGAGCACTCGTTTATTACTGCCCACAGTGGGTGCGTACACATCAATAACCATTTGCTAAAAGAATCTACAATAACTAGGTACACCTTTTGCCCTACAGTCATATGTACGCGCTGCCACGGGCCAGCGGCGGCGGGCCAGGGTGCGGGGGGGTCCCGTGGCGGCGCCGTACGCACGTTTGCGCACGTCGTACACGAGCCGATCCACCGTTCGATGTCACGGTCGATATTAGGCCACCACATTCTACTTCTAGCATTAAGGCCCATTTACACGATGCCATTTTCTTGAACATACAAGAGCAATAATTGAATGCAATAAATTGCGCGCAATAATTGTTTAGACCATTTGTTGTTTAGACCATGCAACTCATTTATTGCTTCAATTTAATTGTATACAACAGGCAAGAAACTGGCACCGTGTAAATGGGCCTTAACTTTTTGTTTTTATAATGCCTAAATGTGAATCATGCAGTTCACGTAACATTTTCTCTTTCAAAGCCAATGGTATAACTATTCTGTGCCCCCTAAATAGGTAACCATTTTCTAATTGTAAATCGGTTTTACAATAGAAATATGGTAAAATTGATTTGCAATTTAATTTACGCGGCCAACCATATTTCATATACTTAATGACGGTGTTAAGTGTTTTGTCTCGTTCAGTCACCTGTACAATGTCGCTTACAGAGATCGCCGGCGATGACTCATCGAGAAACTTAACCGCATAATAACTATCAATAGTATCGTTGTTTACATCGTCCGACGACTCCGTATTGATGTTACTACATTCTAACGGCGCGCGTGAAAAATAATCGGCGACTACGTTGTTTTCGCTGGACGTGTACTGCACTACATAGTTATAAGCGGATAATATAATAGCATATCTCTGTAGTCTTAATGCTGTCGTTACCGGAATACCTACTTTATTGTTAAAAATAGACACTAGGGGTCTATGATCGGTTTTTAAAATAAATGGATTTTCACACCCGTATAAATACTGATGGAAATGTTTCACTCCAAAGATAATAGCCGTCGCTTCTTTTTGTATTTGGCTATAATTTCGTTCGCTAACCATTAGTGAACGAGATGCATATGCCAGAGGACGTTCGGAGCCGTCGTGCGCTCGCTGCGAGAGCACGGCTCCCAGGCCAGTTGGCCCAGCGTCCACGGCCAGTACTAGCTGCGCCCCAGGTTCGAAATGAGCTAGTACACGTTCTGACGCCAATTCGCGTCGCACCGTAGCAATACTGCGCCGCTGTCGCTCGCCCCATTCCCATGTTGCATTTTTACGTAGTAATTCGTGTAAGGGACTTAATAACGACGACGCGTTTGGAATAAAATTTCTGTAATAATTAACTACTCCTAAGAATCTTTTAACTTCAGTTATGTTAGTGGGTTCCGGCGCTCTAATAATCGCTTTTACTTTATCAAGGCACGTTCTTAGGCGCCCCGACTTACTAATAACATAACCTAAATATTTTACGCTTTCTTTAAAAAACTCACACTTGTCCCTTTGTAGGCGCAACCCCGCCTCATCCAGCCTACCTAAAACTTCACTTAATCTTTTGAAATGCGAATTATTGTCGAGGCTTGTAATACAGATATCATCGAGCCATATGCTTACTCCGTCTATCCCTGAAAGAAGGGTTTCCATGCTCTTTGGAATATAGCTGGCGCGTTAGCTAAACCGTAAACTAACCTAGTATATTTAAAAAGGCCTTTATGTGTGTTAATTGTTGTAAGCTCTTGTGATTGTTCATCTAAAAGAAATTGATTATATGCGTTTTTCAAGTCAATTTTGCTATATCGCTCGCCCCCTCCAATTTTAGCAAACACCTCTTTGATTCGCGGCAGTGGTTATTTTTCAATTGTGAGGTCCCTATTTAATGTGACAGAAAAAGCACCAGCAATTTTAACTTGGCCGTTCTCTTTTAATACGGGCACTATAGGGGTGGCATATTTAGAATAATTGACAGGTACACGGATCCCTAATCTAACTAAACGGTTTATTTCTTGTTCGACTTTATCTCTGAGAGCAAAAGGTACTATACGTGGCTTAAAAAATTTTGGAACGGAGTTATCTTTTAATTACAAGCTGACTTTAAATTTATTAAACGTCCCCAATTCATCTCGCCATAAATTTGAATATTTATTTAACAATTCCTGTAATTCTGAACTATCACTACTTATAAGATTATTTTTAGTCGTAATGATTAAGTTGAATGCACACATAAAATCCCTACCCAATATTGGTAGGCCTCCATTTTTAACAACAAAAATTTTAATTAGCTTTTTAATATTATTATAGCTAGCTTCCACCGTAAAGTATCCCATATCCGTTATTTTATGCCCATCGTATAAACACATTTTTATACAACTGCGTTGAAGCGGATACTCAGAGAAGAAGTCTTTATACATTTCATCTGATATGACACATTTACTAGAACCTGAATCAAGCACCATTGACATACTTTTGCAGCCTAATTTTAAATTAATTTGAATTGGTCTGTCAGTCACATACCTTAAATTAACATTTTGGCATTTTGCCCCACAATTTGATTCCTCATTTTGTTCAGATTCGGTGTGCGAATTGACAAGATATACACATTGGTTCTTAGGTTTGTTGCACACTTTTTTTAGATGACCCTTCTTCCCATACTTTTGATATTTGTAGTTTTTGTAACGACACTTCTCACTTTGGTGATTTTCCATCCCACAAACAGCGCAGCGCGATGAGGCAGCATACCCGCCGTTTGCCCGCCGAGCACCACTGACCCGACCGGGTTGACCTTGATTTCGCACTCGGTATACCGGCTCCTCCTTAACAGGGATAGCTTCACTGTTGCACATCACCATCGCCTGTTTGGCGCAAGCTGCCTGCTCAGCCAGCTCGATAGCACGTGTCAGCGTAAGTTTGACGGGTTCTGCTCGAACAACTTGTCGCGTTCTGGACCTGGGCCCAGGCCGAGAACGAAACGATCCCTTAAGGTCGTTTCCAGAATTCCGGTGCCGAAATCGCAATAGCTTGCGAGACCTCTTAGTCGCGCCGCCCATTCTCCCAATGATTCGCCTGACCCTCTGTTCGCTCCATAAAAATTCGCCTTGTCCACAAACGAGCATTGCTTCGGCTTGAAATGGCTGTCGAGTACGAGGCTCGCAAAACTCAACAACTCCAGCTCCTGCGGGTACGCTAAGTTTCGTATTAAACGAAACGACTCCTCGCTAAGTTGTGTAAGCAGTATTCCACTCTTGTCTCCTTCTTCTATTTTGTTTATTTTTAAAAAAATTGTGACAATCTGGCTTTAAATATTGACCACTCACAGGACTTATGGTCAAAAACAGGCAAATTTCCTAAGTACGCCATTTTTTTTTTACTTGCGGGTAATCCGACCTCGTCGCCAATGATATGTATAGACTTGGAAAGAAGCAACCGTTGCGTAAGAGCACTCGTTTATTACTGCCCACAGTGGGTGCGTACACATCAAATTGTCATTATCGTTCAAATCAAAGGGTATATATAATTTAGAAAAGTAAAGTTTCTATAACATATAGCTTGATATCCTCGACTTCGTCTGGGTTGCTTATTAAATCCACTCCACTACTCTACGGCAAGAAATTACACTTTACTGAACACGTAGTGCTCATAAAGATTTTTTCTTATGATTTTCAAAAAGTATATATAATATAAATATCCTAAAATATAAATATATGTAATATAAATGTCCTTGGTCGAGTAACGAAATCACAAAAACACTTCGACGCGCTAAATCATAGATGGAATTCACACAGAGATCCTTAAGCTTATTGACGAAGAATATATCGCAGTGAAACTGTTCAACTTTGTTCATGACACGGGTCTTTGTTCATGTACCGGAAGACTGGCTGAATTCAACATTTATCGCACTTCCCAAAATGAAAAACTCGACCAAATGCGAAGATTCCGACATTTCGCTTCTTGTATTAACTGATGTTTTTGCTTTCAGTCCCGAGACTATTAAAGCTTCATCTGACGCAGAACCGGTGGGATAGCCAGAACCCACGGGTTTGGATCGACGTTTCGCCCCACGAGAAAGGTCCTGAAGCTTTTGATCTCGACAATTCATGAGAGAATATTAATAAAATGTGATGAACTGAGTGAGCTGAGTGACAGTCAGTTTGGTTTTAGAAGCGAAATGGGAATTAGGGAAGCTTTAATCGCATTGCAGGTTTTTGTGCAAAAATGTCGCGACATGCCGCTAGGTGCCTTTCCATGCTTCATTGAGTACGAGAAAGCGTTTGACAAAGTGCAACGTCAACTTTACTGTTGCACGAATGGGCAGATCCGTCTAGGTAAATACTACGACCTCACAGAAGACCGGCGTAAAGTGGAAGTTTTATACTTTTGCGTTTCGTCTTCTGAGTGCGGTAGCCGGGGCCCACTTTATTAAAAGATGGCAAAACGTGTTGCGAATGTCAATGGGCGGCGTTTATCGCTTAAGATCAGGTGAACCACCAGCGCACTTGCCACCTTTTCACATAAAAAAGACATCAGTTTAGACAAGAAAGACATCCGTACAAAATCTGTACAGGAACCAGCAGGCTACTGTCAGAGATGAAGGGGAAGAATCCAAGAAAATTCACATTAAGATTGGAGTGTGCCAGGGATTTATTTGTCGAAACTCTTTTTAATATATAGTCTGAAGCAATGGAAGACTTTAATTATGGTATTAAAATAAATGCCCAGCAACAACTAAAAAAATGCCGATGACACGATTCTCGTGGCGAAGGAAGCCGAGCTCTAGAAAATTGTTTATCGAGTAACCGAGTGTAGTTTCAATGCTGACCTCATCATGAATTTCCTCAATCAAGACTAAGTTTATGGTTATTTCAAACATAGTTAGTTTTAGTTGATTAACCTAGCCTATCTATGGCCGCTCAAAAACTGGAATGCGTCGATAATTATAGATTGATTCACCTTCCCTTCCCGCGGAAGTGAAGAGTGACATTGGGTACCATATCACTTGACAATTTACTTTAATCTATAAATAATCTTATAAAATAGATTGTGAATAAACTAATATACTAATATCACCGACGTTATAAGCTATAACACTCTTGCTATAAGTGGTAATTTGTTTCACATTCCAGTTACAAAAACAAACTTTGGCCTACAATCCCCTCAAGTTAGATTAATTAGAGAATACAACTTCTTAGTCAAACAATAGCCGATATGGATATATTTCATTGCAGTCTGAATAGATTTAGAAAGCTGCTAACAAAACTATATATATTAAGTAGTCATTAATTAATTTTATTTCAAAATATTTATAATATTTTAACTTACACTCGTATCATTAAAATACCCACTTTGCTATTTCTAATATATTTATAACTATGGACACCGTTATTTTTTATGTATCAGCTATAAGTTTTTAGGACCAATTGACCTATGTAAATGACCAATACATGCGATGTGGTTGTACTTTAAATAAATAAATATTAATAAATAAACAAAGGGCTTACACTGCGATAATTCACCGTAACGCCCACTACATAGATGTTTTCACAAACATTAATATCAAGGGACTCACGCAAATATTAACAACAATTACGAGTAACCAACTTAACCAAGCTACCCTTAATTATGACATATGTTCATGTTCATGTCCAGATGTTCTAACATTTTCATTCGAAATTTCAGGCACCGTTTAAGTGGTTATAGCAATAGAATTTATCAAATTTATTATATATAATGTAATAATTTATAGTCCCTAATAATTATTAAATGAACCGAAAACAAAAGATTGTTTTAAAAACACTAACTATTCTTCTATTTTTTTTTGCGAGGACCATAAAGAAATAATAAACATTTCACTTCTTGAGAAAACTATGATACCTTATACAAAAAAAATTCAATCACGGGTCCATTTTTATTTTGATTCCATTGATCTAGAATTCAATCGAGTGTGAAAAGAAAGAGTCGCCAATCTAAAAATTTACTAATTTTAGTTTTCAACTAGCTGTGCCAGCGACGTGCGCCTGGAATTTTAAGTAAAAAAAAACTAAAATAAAAGTATCCTAAGTTACTCCCTATTACATCAGCTATCTGTCAGTGAAAGTCCCGTCCTAATCGGTTCAGCCGTTTCACAGATTAGGCGGAACAAACAGACAGACAGAAAGACAAAAATTGTAAAAAAAAATATTTTGGTATATGTACCTACCGTGTATACATCCATATGCATTTAGTAAAAAGCGGTTATTTTAATATTACAAACAGGCACTCCAATTTTATTTATCTGTACAGATATTATTACGTGTTAGGGTTCGAAGGATTTCGAGAGAAAGACAAAACCTTGACCACAGCGTTACTGCTTCCACTAACAAGGGTTCTCGCCGTCATCAGTGTTTGCGCCGATGTCTTGGTAGGTGTGCCTTCGATCAACACGCATCTGTTTGACATTTTCTTTCCAGCTGGCGGCAGTTTCACCAGCATCTGAGCTTCCGCTCGTCCAGGTATAATGACTTTCTTTACACATGCGACTTTCCCGCAGGTGCCTCCAAGAATGAAGATTTCTTCTTCACCACACTTGAAAACTCCGTCAGCGACATTAATTCTGCAGTTGTGTTTCTTCATGAAATTCAAACCCAAGATGCAATCATCCATAATCGCAGCCACGATAACGTTATGAGAGTATGAGGACCCCCCTACATACATCGTAACTGACGTTTCTCCCAGGACGGGTATTGGCTGACCGGAGGCAGTAAGAAGCCGGCAGTCAATCCTCCTCTTATGTCCCCTTGCGGCTTTTACCAGATTTGGATTCACTATTGTTCTAGAGGCTCCTGTGTTAATGCACGCCTGGGAGATAACAGTTATCGGAGCTTCCTCCGCGTCAGCCAGTACTTGCCCCTTAGTACTGGCTTTTATTAGTTTCCCTGATCCCGGGCAGGGGACGAAGCCTGTCGCTTCTTCAGCTCCGCTATTTGTTCCTCGATCCATTTCATCCTTGTCATCTGGGTCTCCTTCTGCGGGCAGTTGAGCTGAAGATGGCCCCTCTCGCCGCACTTGTAACAAATGGCTCCAGAACTTTTCTTCGAAGGAGCCTTAACCTCCTTGACTTCCTCAGAGACCTCGCGATCTTATGGGTCTGCCGCATGTCATAGCGAAAAGTCTCGATCTCCAACGCGTGCGCTTATGCCTCCTTTAGCAAGGTATGGTGACGAAGCCTCACTGCAGCTCTGACCTCCAGGTCTTTGATTCCGTCCACAAATGCTTGAACAATATTCGTGTCTACCATCTTGGTGTCGGCTCCTGGGTGTGCCTTCCTGACGAGTTTTTCAATTTCCAACGCCCATTGTTGTAGTCCTTCTCCTGAGCGTTGGATTCAGTCACGCAGTTGGGCACGGAACACGTGCTCCAGGTGTCGCTCCCCGTATCTGGATTCAACTGCCTCTATCAGGTCTTGGAACCCATTTCCTATACGTGTCAGTGCTTCCAGGACCGACAAAGCTTGCCCTCTAAGCGCAACAGTGAGGGCGGTCAGGCATTGCTCTTCCGTCCACCCGTTGGCAGTAGCAACAGTCTGGAATTGCCGACGATAAGCGTGCCAAGAACTATTGCTGATGTATGGCGGCACTTTCACTCTTGGTCCTTGCGCCACTCCCGTAGTTCCAATAAGCATCGTGACTCACGTGGTTTCAAGACGCACTACTTTTTTCTGTAGTTCAGTGAGGCCGGTTTTCACATTTTCAACATCCAATCCTAACCCGGTATCTCGTTCTTTCACTACGTTGACATCTCTTCGAAGCTTAATCACCGTGTTACTAACATCACTTATAGCCCAAAGCGCTTTTTCTTGGAGGTCTTTTTGTTGTCCTTGTGACTCTTGCAAAGCGCCGAGCCTGCGTTCGTGTGATTCCTTCATTGCTTGAATTTCAGCCCTTTGCAGCTCCATTAATTCAATTAAACTTCCTAATTGCAGAGCCACTTCAGGGGCTGCAGAAGCTACGGTGCCGCTGGTGGGCGTGGCTTGTCTGATGGGCTTGGCCCGATGGGTGGAGTCAGTGGGCGGGGTCTGAGGTGGAGTGGGCGGGGCCTGCGCCAAAATGGTCGTGGCTTGAGTCAAAGTGGGCGGGGCCTGAGCCTGGGTGGTCGGAGTCTGGAGGGGTTGTGGTCTGTGGGCGTGACTTGGTAGGTGAGGCCAGTGGGCGGGGCTTGGTCCCCAGTGGGTGTGGCCTCCGCAGCTCGTGCCCTTGTCCTGACGCCTTGTCCTGACGTCCTCTCTCGGAGTCAATGGCATCTCCAAATCCCACTTCTGACACCAGTTGTTACGTGTTAGGGTTCGAAGGATTTGGAGAGAAAGACCTGCTGACTCTTTGAGATACTTTATTCACTAGCACTAGGTCCAATACAAAGCACTAGGTCCAAACACTAAGCACTAACGATGTCCTAGGTTGTAGCCAAGTCGTAGGTTTCGCTGGTATACACTCTTGATCACTAGTTTTCATTCCGAAGTCGAGAGATTTCCCTCGAAGGTAGCTCAAACTGAACTGCCTCGCTCGCCTCCCTGCGGCTTTTTATATGGGCCGAGACGAGTCCCAGACTAATCCAGAAAGTTCCTTCCTGGAACGTACCCGACACGCGCGAACATGATCATGATTCTGGAAAGTTCGCGAATGTACCCGGTTTTCGAGACTATATAGTTCCACAGTAGTTCCTCTAACGCCATCTAGTATTGAGTAGGGGGTTTTATGTTGTCTTTGTTCGTTGAGTGGTTTTACTGGTTGATGCTAGATGGCGCTAGTTTCTTCGTGTGTTCGTAACAATATGTTACTTCACTTATTAAGGAGTGTAAATTATGTTAGTATCAATGTTTTTGAAACGTAGTTAAAGGAGATGCGAGTTTATTTACGTTCGATAATGTTAAAACATACCAACATTTTGTCAAATGTTATAAAAATAAGTAAAATAAGCGAGTATAAATCAAGTAAGTAATAAGTAAGTAAATAAGCAAGTATTACATTACATTATACTCATTTCGTCTGTGTGACTGACGCCACCGGAGCAGTGGCTTCTTTTGACCAAATCAGACTATAAATGAAATAATAACCAATAATTGAGCTTTGTCACCTCCAAGCTTATGAATGTTAAAGAACCCGTCTGGAGATGATATGGCTTAACTGCTCAGTTCACTTTCAAGCAAATAATATACAAACTTTAGACATCCCAACGACATTTTCTATCTGAATCAATTTTGCTATTTTAACAGGACACTTAACTGAAGTCAATTTATGATGATACAATCTGGGTTAAATGTTAATAAGGCTGATATTAAAGATAATAATAATAACACTTTCTAATCGACAAATCGAGTAATATTATGACCACAAAACATTTTGAACGTGAGCATATAGCATGACTGCTCATAAAGAATATCATTTACCTACATACAATCTTATTTGGCCTGTCCATTTTCACTTCTTGTTATTGAACCCTGTGCGCACAAATTTTATTACTTTAGACTAAGGGCTATATATTTTCTTGACTCGACGAATCTCCATTCCTACGTTAACCTAAAAATAAACTGGTTCGAGACACGCAAACTTGATTAATGTCGGCTGAAATGGCATTGAAAGATTCGTTTAGAAGCATTGTTTCGGATAATCCAAATTGCAATTTATTCAACTTTTCTAATTAGCGTTTATATGATTGATAAGTATAAAATTGGATGAAGAACGTTTCGAAGTCGTATAAACAAATAAGAAAAAGGAGTGTTACCGACCCTACACTATTGCAGAATAGTCGGGAGGCAATAAGTTTAATGTTATGAAAATAATGCTAACTGGTAATCAACTCTGAAATCAGACGTACTTTCAGACTTTGAGACTTCAACAAGTAACTAAGCACTCTCTTCTTAAGGATCCATGGCCAGCGTAACTTAGGAAAAACTATTAATAAGCTTTTAACGAAGCTTTTAACTATTCTAGCGACCTCGAAGTCTTTTGTAACTCTTGTGACAATTTTTATCAGCGACAGTGATCTTTCATAATCAGATTATCTGTTTACAGACTTGTCAACTAGTCAATTTAAAAGTCTTCTCTTAAAGCGTCATGAAACATGGATAATACTTGCTTCCTCTGTTTATAAAGTCTAAGTTAATATATGAATTGTGAATACTCATTTTTCAGATTACTAGATAAAATTTGATTTGTAAGCATTATGCTAAATTTAAATTCTTACATTTGCAAGGACGTTTACATTGCGTGACATTATAAATCTTATGTGATATTATGGAGAAGGTTCGTTAAACTTAAAAATCTTAAAAAATTGAGCCCGTCTTCCGTCGTAAACAGGCATAAAAAGACAGGCTTCTCCATGGTACGAGTTTTGAAAGAGCCAATGGTGGAAAGCCTACGCATACCCACTCTCACATTGATTAAAAACCACACGATGTTGTCACCTAAGATGTCTATCGGCAGGGCCGCGGGAAGACTTTCGCCTTCTTTGACATCCTTGACATCGCTGACCTTCTCCGCACATTTGTGACACATTACTAGCTTTGAAATTACATGTTCATTAATGTTTTTTGGGTAACAAAATAAGTATTCTTACGTTGATGAGTGTTTATGATACTTCACAATATAGTACCCGGAGGACCGAGCAAAGCTCGGTTTGTTTTTTTCTTGGTGAATCGTGTATTTTGGAAATTACATTTAGATACAAATTACTGAGTAATGAAATATGCATAATATTTTTCGATCTTACCGACGTAATAATAAGAAAATATGAACTGATGTTTTTCACAAAAGAAAGAACTTTAAAAAAAAGGGAAAAAAATAACAAAATAAGAAATCGACAAAAAATTAAAAATAAAGAAAGCAATCAAAGCAAAGAATCGAAAAAAAGAAAAAATAAATTAAAAAAAAAATTAAAAAATAAATGTGTAAATGATCGTGACGCGAACCACGGCCGTCTGTTTTGGGGCCGCCCGATTACCGACCGAGCTATTATGACATTTTCTCTTGCGGCGAAATTTACCGTCATATTCGAATTATATTTTTCATTCCCTGAAAACAGGGATAAAAGGACATTTTCTAAAAGTGAAACCTAGCTAGATCGATTTTTCGCCCCCGAATCTATGCACATACTAAATTTCATGAAAATCGCTGGAGCCGTTTCCGAGATTCCGATTATATATATATACAAGAATTGCTCGTTTAAAGGATAAGATTTACGTCTTCCCATGAGATATGTGAATATTTTTATAATTATATTACATAAAATATCTAAGAGAGACCATAAAAAGGCTGTCGTAACGTTACCGTGAAATTATTATCTAGAATCACATTAATGCAAAAAATATTTTCTATCAAAACAGTTTAAATTGTTTTTTAAGTACTTATATATATCTTTTCATGCAGTAGTTAGTTTTGGCAGTATTGTCTCAGTAAGTAAGATTGTTCTTATCTTAGTGGTGTTTCGTGTTCATAATGAAATTGCCAATAATATCGTGAGCTATACTTGTCTTACTTGCCTACTCTGTAAGCGCCAAAAGTTATCGAAAGTTGTGTCGTTTCATCAATAGTTCTCTAACTAAAAAAATTTAAACAAAAACATCCTATGCACACATTTTTTTTTTCTATTAAAAAAAAGTAAACGTTTTCCTGTGAAATTTGAATCTCCGCGTTAAAGCTTTTATTCAATTTATCCGAAAAGACCCATGAAAGGCATTCACATACTAGTGAATATAACATTTCTACCTTTAATGGCTAACGTTTTAAGACTTGATATTACACCGTAAGGAAATTGCGCCGTACACTGAATAATTAACGAAATTTATTCCAGAGACAACTGTGTTGTCGAGTTATGTTACAGTAAAACAGAGTTACGGCTGCCGGGGCGCCTACTGCATGCAAGGTAAACTTCATTGTATAAACAATACTTTATATTACTTGTATATATAAAGCTTAGACTTAACATTTTTCATTGTTGTCTCTTCAAACAAAAGATGAAGTAATTTTTTTTTCTTTTTTTTTAAACATTGATCTTAGTTTAGGATAACATTATCCTGTGTTGTAAGGACGTTTTACAAACATTTTCACGTAGACAAACACCCAGATCAGTAACAACTATCTGTGGGTTGCACAAATACTTGTCCCGTGTAGGAATCCAACCCACGACTCCCGACGCCGAAGCCAATACCTTGGCAACTGCGCCACGGAGTCGTCACGAAGTGGATTCGTTGAAGTGATTAACGAATAGGCAAAAAGAGTTAAGGCAGATTCAACGTGATCGCGGTATATAGTTTCCAAAAAGTTTGCGACCCAATTAAAAGTTAGGGTACTTAATTTCTAAAACCTATTTGAAAATAGGTTTTAGAAATATAACAATATAAATGACATGGCATGATATATAGCATTCACAAAGTAGCTTGAATTGAACACGAAAATGCCGAATGTAAAGATCTGTCACTTCTGATAGTAATAGAGAACACTAATTTTTGATGATTAGCGAAAAGATCGTTTTTTGCAAATTATTATCGAATACTTCGTCAAATTTAAGAATTTTTTAGGTTCGGCCGTCACAATTTTTCCACCACAGGATGCGCTACTGGTTAACAGTAAAGTAGTAAGTAGTAAGTGTAGTGCAGTGTAGTAAGTACATGTTGAATTTAGAATTTAGACACTTTGGTTCGCAAAAAAAAAAACAAGAAAATGCGTTTGTTATTTTTGTATAATAAGCAGCAAGCTACAATGCCAAATCGCTTGAAATATTCCCATTTTCCACAAGAAATCCAACTGTCTTTACCCAGAATCAACTTTTACATTTGTTACTGTCTGTTAAATTTCCCAGAAATTGGAAACTCGGAAATGGCTCCAGCGATTTTCATGAAATTTAGTATGTGCTTAGATTCGGGGGCGAAAAATCGATCTGACTAGGTTTCATTTTTAGAAAATGTCCTTTTATCCCTGTTTTAAGGGAATAAAAAATATCATTCGAATACGACGGTAAATTTCGCCTCAAAAAAAATTGTTATAATAGCTCGGTCGGTAATCGGGCGGCCGCTAACAAACAGCCACGAAACAGAAGGCCATGGTTCGTATCACGATCATCTACATGCTTATTTTTTTACTTTTTTTTCGATTCCAGATCATTGCTTTCTTTATCTGTTATTTTTTGTCGATTTGTTATTTTGTTTGTGGTTTTTTTCCCTTTTTTTTAAAGTTCTTTCTTTTGTGAAAAACACCAGTTCATATTTTCTTATTATTACGTCGGTAACATCGAAACATATTATGCATATTTCATTACTTAGTAATTTGTATCTAAATGTAATTTCCAAAATACACGATTTACCAAAAAAAAATACAAACCGAGCAAAGCTCGGTCCTCCGGGTAATAGTTGTTGTATTTAACATACCAACATTTTATCAAGAATGATATATAATTACCGAAAGTAAAACAGATAGGGAAATATAATTTAAAGGAGTTAACAAAGGTGCCAACATAGTACCTACACAATTGAATTTAAGAAAAAAACATTAAACTGTCATGCCTTATCTTAATTAGAAATATGTAATCCCTTCAAAAACATAAATGTGAAATGCTAGCCAATAAATGCCTTGGTTGATGACTTCAACGACAAAAGAAGTGAAATCTAAATGGGTGCCAAGTTCAATGGTCAGTCCTAAAATTTATTTATAATAATGAATCATTTCTTCTTATAACTTAGGATAATATATTGAAGCCTAAGGTTTGATTTAGCTAGTTCGAAACTCTGCACTCGATTCGCCTTCAACACGTTATTTTTTTTATTTCTTAAATTCCGGCAATTTTTCCACACTCCCTCAACGATATTTTTACCAGTGCGTGGTGGGACTTTCACGACCCTGGGTAGATTAAAATGATATATCTTTGCGAAAACATGGTTTCACAAGCTAAATTTATTCTAATTTTCTTTGGATTATGTAACAAAGAATTGAAAACAGAATCAGATTCAGTACTTTTGCATTGGGCAACACTAAACAGCACTGTCGGCTGTTCAGTCCAGTTAATGTCAATTTGTCAATGTCAATTGTCAGTTGAAATTTGCAGCTCGATGCTACTTGCTGCCAAAACTTATATTGTGTTATATTTATATGTAGAATAATTTATAGTGCGCTATTTTATAAATTAAGTTTTTGTTATCACGGTCATATGTCTCAATACAATGTTTTAAGTAACTTAATTAATAATTTTGTCGAATATTGACATTGTATTTGTTACTGTGCGTACCTACTTGAGTGCAATTTTCTCTACAAACTTATTTTTGTGAATGATTGAGATACATGAATTTTCGTAGCTGGGATGAAATTCTACAAAGGATTATAAAGGTAACCAAATCACATTTATTTCTACGTACCTCCGTACAAGTAAACAAAACCCTGCATTGAGTCTGCGTCGGTCTAAGTTTAGCATCGACGCGAAGATTTTTATTTTCTTCATTAGTTATTAGAAATTTTAAACTCTCTCTGTACTTTCTTTATTTATTCTTAACATTGAATTACTTCTTTTGTATTTCATATTTAAGTTATACTTTATTTAATTATATTTAGATTTAAAAAAAAGCAGGTAAAAAAAAGGTATTTTCTCCGTTGAAAATAAAGTATAAGTGAAAATCTTAAACCACTATTGCCAAAATATTCTAGTCTCTTTATCCATCTTAGCATCTATAAGGGGGTTAAAAAAATGAAAGTACACATATTTTGATTTTTACCTAAATTGCTTAAATAAAATCCATTGTGTGACTGAGAAGTTGACAGTGTAATTTAAAAATATATTCATTGAAGATTATTTTATAATTTTGAATATTTCAATATTATTATTTATGTAGATTTAATAACTCTGAACTAACAAATCGCAGGCATCCATCTTCGCCTCTGTAGCTATGGATTGTTTGTACTTGTACAGTTTGTTACAGCAGGCAGAGGCTGCCTTCCCTACTTGCCTTAGGTTATAAAAAACACTAGGGGTAGGACAAACTCATACCTGGTGGAGTTGGGGTCAATCAATTTGGTTTTTTGACATAAGTTGAACCTAAAGTATTTTATTTGAACAAGTATTTAATTTCATTCTCAAATACTTCGCGTCTCCGCCTGTTGAAACTTTGAGTGTGTGCTTATAAAAACATAACCTTTCTGTCAAAAAATAATCAAACCCCAACTTAATGAAGGTCAAAGGAAAGCTTAGCCTAATATATTAAAGCTGCTTTTTATCTGACTTACACATTAAAGCTGTGATTAACACAAAGTATTAAATATTTGTACAAAGCACAAAGAATTTTTATTGTGAATTAGAAATTTTTAGTTGATCAAAATTTAAGTAAATTATAGTGAAAAGCAGGCCAACAAGTTCCACCTGAGAGTGTATATATAGTGCTCTATACATACGCTTCACATTGCAATTATCTCCCAAACGGACAGTTAATGTGGCCAAGGTGATAAAACTCAATCACCTGCCACAGAAGATTACCACTTAGCTGAATATTTGGTTTAAAAGTGTTTATTTGCTTATA